GGCAAAACGAAAGCCGATTAGTCATCGCACAGCCCCAATCCGAAAGTAAACCTAGGTCTTGCCCTAAACCCAGCACACTGGTCGCTAACGTCTCAAGGCATGAATCGAGATCCTAAAGGCATGTCTCTTCGCCCACATCTAAGCACTCGCGAAAAACGAAATCTCCCGAGTTAACGAATCGGACGATCTACACCTAAGATTTAGGTACGAGATGACAACTCGTATTCTTCCCTCTACATCTAACATAAAAAAACGAGTTTTATACTTAGAAAATATTTTCTTATTAAACATCCGAATACACACCGCCCGGCGGTAGGGATTCAAAGCCACCAACGGCCAGTCCCGGAAAAACAACGACAAAATCGAAAAAACTAAGAACATCAAACATCGAAGTCGTCAAACCCAGGTTGATCGACTTCGTCATCTACATCTGAAATTCCAGGACCGACTTAACCGAATCCGGCGACACCACGATGGGATTCCATTGATCCCACATACGCGCCTTAAGGTCGAAAAACTCGGACTGCATATCTTTTTCCCGATTCAAATCTTCCCATCGCACTTGGGATTCCTTAGCAAACGAATACCCTTCATTCTGAGTCAGGGATAACCCATGAACGACCCCCGCGACATTCGCGATAATCACCATGCGCCCATTGAACAGCTTCCGCATCCGAATAACCGGTTGCAAATCGCTCGCGACTGTTGGTGTCGAAAACCGTACTCTCGAAATCAACGACTGCGATAGCTTCTATAAAAGGGAGATCATTACTTTCCGCAAAAATCGTTTTATAAAACTCGAAAATCATTTTATAAAATTTGAGAGTCATTTTATAAAACTCGAAGAATCGTTTTATAAAACTCGAGAATCGTTTTATAAAACTCGAGAATCGTTTTATAAAAATTGAGAATCGTTTTATAAAACTCGAGAATCGTTTTATAAAACTCGAGAACCGTTTTATAAAACTCGAGAATCGTTTTATAAAACTCGAGAATCGTTTTATAAAACTCGAGAATCGTTTTATAAAACTCGAGAATCGTTTTATAGAACTCGAGAATCATTTTATAAAACTCGAAGAATCGTTTTATAAAACTCGAGAATCGTTTTATAAAACTCGAAGAATCGTTTTATAAAACTCGAGAATCGTTTTATAAAACTCGAAGAATCGTTTTATAAAACTCGAGAATCGTTTTATAAAATTCGAGAATCGTTTTATAAAACTCGAAGAATCGTTTTATGAAACTCGAGAATCGTTTTATAAAACTCGAAGAATCGTTTTATAAAATTCGAGAATCGTTGTATAAAACTCGAAGAATCGTTTTATGAAACACGAAGAATCGTTTTATAAAACTCGAGAATCGTTTTATAAAGCTCGAGAATCGTTTTATAAAACTCGAGAATCGTTTTATAAAACTCGAAGAATCGTTTTATAAAACTCGAGAATCGTTTATAAAACTCGAGAATCGTTCTATAAAACTCGAGAATCGTTTTATAAAACTCGAGAATTGTTTTATAAAACTCGAGAATCATTTCATAAAACTCTAGAATCGTTGTATAAAACTCGAAGAACCATTTTATAAAACGAATCGTTTTATAAAACTCGAAGAATCGTTTTATCGCGTTTTATAAAACTCGGGAGTATATTCTTCCCACTACAATAAAAAAAGCACGCTCTTAAAACACGCAAACTGATTTTTAATAAAGCCGCAAAAGCGGCAGGGACTCAGAGCCGCACACGGCCAGTCCGAAAACTATAACGGCCACGCTCGGCCAGATCAAACGGTCTACGAGACTAGTCTCAAGGCCGGCCAAGGTCAAGATGCCATCGACATCATTGTGCTCGATAAACATATAACTAGACCGTAAAGGTCTTGCCGGGAAAAAGGTCATACGAACCTTAACTCCAAAACGAACTACGAAAGGCTTGATCCCCTCAAAAGGGTACGTAGGCAGCCTTCACAAGGCGCGGCCCTAATCCTAAACGCTTCCCGCTCCCTGGAGAGTGGAAAGATCACTTTCAACGGACCTTTCCGACCATTAATTCCGCCTAACTTAACTAAAACTGGTTAACCACTCGCAAGAACCTTACGCTAAAGGCTCATGATTCTTACGAGCTGGGGGGCTAACTGTTGGGGTCAAAATCTGTACGACAGAATTAATAGCCAAAACTTTCCGCAAGAATACAAAAAGAACAGTTTTATAAAGCTCGAGAATCGTTTTATAAAACTGGAAAAATCGTTTTATAAAACTCGAGAAATCGTTTTATAAAGCTCGAGAAATCGTTTTATAAAGCTCGAGAATCGTTTTATAAAACTCGAGAAATCGTTTTATAAAGCTCGAGAATCGTTTTATAAAACTCGAGAATTCGTTTTATAAACTCGAGAATCGTTTTATAAAACTCGAGAAATCGTTTTATAAAACTCGAGAATCGTTTTATAAAACTCGAGAATCGTTCTATAAAACTCGAGAATCGTTTTATAAAACTCGAGAATCGTTCTATAAAACTCGAGAATCGTTTTATAAAACTCGAGAATCGTTCTATAAAACTCGAGGATCATTTTATAAAACTCGAGAATCGTTTTATAAAACTCGAGAATCGTTTTATAAAACTCGAGAAATCGCTTTATAAAGCTCGAGAAACCGTTTTATAAAACTCGAGAATCGTTTTATAAAACTCAAGAATCGTTTTATAAGACTCGAGAAATCGCTTTATAAAACTCGAGAAACCGTTTTATAAAACTCGAGAAACCGTTTTATAAAACTCGAGAATCGTTTTATAAAACTCGAAGATCGTTTTTATAAAACTCAAAAGTCGTTTTATGAAATCCGNAACTCAAGAATCGTTTTATAAGACTCGAGAAATCGCTTTATAAAACTCGAGAAACCGTTTTATAAAACTCGAGAAACCGTTTTATAAAACTCGAGAATCGTTTTATAAAACTCGAAGATCGTTTTTATAAAACTCAAAAGTCGTTTTATGAAATCCGAAGATCGTTTTATAAAACTCGAGAATCGTTTTACAAAACCGCCAAAAACCGCAAAAAACCGAAAAAGCCGTAAAACGCGAACTAGTCGCAACTAGTTCGCCCATCGGCGATCTAAGCCGGGTCCCCACCCGACTGCTAACCCTAAATTCCCAATCTCTCTCTTTCGATTTCCCAAAATCTCATAACTCAACAACAATCTCATCCCATCTATCTCTCATCTCTAATCCTTCTAACTAGTAATCGTACATAGAATCAAGCAACAATCATCTTAAATCTCTTCCCCATCTTCGATTGCTTGCGTCATTCAACAATGTCGCCGCAAGTCCAAACTTGACTTGGAAAAAAAAAAGAAGAGAATGATGCCACCACAAAGAATAGAGAAGAAGCAGTGAAGAAGAGGAAAGACGCGTCAAAGAAGAAACGAGATGCGGCTGCGGCAAAGAAGAAGAGAGATGCCGCTACGGCTGCAGCAAAGAAGAAAGACGCAGTGGCGAGGAAGAAGGAAAAAGAGGCAACAGCAAAGAAGAAGACTGAAACCGCGGAAAATAAGAGGGTGCGAGATGGTGGTGCCGATGGTAGATCCTCATCGACACGAACCAAACAGTCTCAGAACCGCGAGACAGAAATAGAAGTGACAGAAACCGCATCTCCACAAAGCCTTCAAGGCGGTGTTTCCCCAGCACCATCAAATGAATTTCCTTTTCAGCCGCATATTGAGGTTATAGCAAGCAGAGAGCTTTCGAGCCAGCCCCAAAAATCACCTATTCAGGCACCCACTGCAACCTCTAGAAACTTCACTTTCGCTTTCAAACTCTTCAACAAAGAGTCCTTCAGACCGTGTAGTTGATGATGAGGAGATTGGGTCTAACAACAGAGATTCACGCACACCTGAGGCTGCAAATAACAATGACGTGCAAAGAACGGTAAACAGAATCAATTGAAATGTGTTTTTCTAATAGGATTTAAGTAACAATTAGGTAGAAATATATAAGTAGTGTAACTAGTACAATTAAAAGAGATAAACTAATAATATTGTAAAACAGATTCAACGGAACTAGTATAACTAGTGTAACTAACACTACTGAGCATCGTATACCTAGTATAACTAAAACAGTGAAAATGGTGCAACTAGTAATAATATGTTGTAAGAAAGATTCAGTGTACTAGTATAACTAGTACAACTGAGTATCATATAACTATTAGAACTCTGTGATTTAAAAAGGTTTAATGAGATAATTTTATTAATGTATTACTTGTGTAATTGGTACAACAAGAGAAGTATTACTAGGACAACTTATCTTGTTTATCTGTATAACTGGTGTAATTCGATGATGTTGTTATCGTATAACTAGTTTAACTGGTACAAATAGTAATATTATTTTTAGTTTAATCATTGTAACTGGTGCGACTAAGTGATTTTGTGTTCTTATTTGTGTTTTCAGGTTGTGGACGAGAATATGGCCGTAGAACAAATTTGACCTGTTGTTTTTTCTTCAAGCGTAGCGAGTATGGGACGGTTTGCAAGCTCTCCTCAAGGTGCCACCAACAAAATTTTCTGAAGACAATTGAAAACTTTGAGGAGTCAGAGAAGAGTTGGTTTAAGAATCACCCTCAGTTCAAACATTTATTTCACAATGATTGTTGTGAAAAGAAAGGTTCAGGATTGTGGATGTTGCTACTTCGTCGTATGCATACATGAAAGGATTGACAAGCTTGGTTTGGGGTAAACGATGTTAGAACTAGATACTCCGTCAGGGAACACGCCCTCCTCTCTGGTTTATACTGCGGAACATACCCTGAAACTATTCGAGTATTGGGAGGATGAAGTTTGCGACAAAGCATTTTAAGAACCTGCAAAAGAATATTAAGGAGAAGACGAGGAAGAAACAGGGTTTGAGAGTGACAGAAGAGGATGTCTTAGAGAACCTTGAGAAGATGCAAGCTGATGGTAGTGATGAGCGTCTGAAGATGGCAGTTCAATACTTTTTGGCAAGAGTAATAAGAGGAAGGTCAAGAAATGGGTACTTCATTGAGCCTTTCATTCTCCAGGAAGTAGATGATCTGGATTTTTGCAACAAATTTCCATGGGGAGTTACACATTTGATGATTGCATGAAGGAGATTTTCCACTTGAAGGATCATTTTGCTAAAGGGATCGCAGAGAATGTGCAGTGGACATTTTCTGAATTTATCATCCCTTTGGAGGTATATGAATTATGTTTTTCATAAACATATTTGTTATTATATAACGAATATGATTGTGTGAAATGATGTGTAGATATTGGCTTTTGAATGTATCTGTATCCTTAGGGAAAGTTTCAGAGATCCTGTTCCAAACTGTTTCCCAGATTGCCCAAGAATATGCAAATAGAAGTACAACAGGACCGGGACAACAAGGCTTGCATTGGAAGAGATTTATGAGGCACTTGACAAGACGAAGGTAAAATATTTTAATATTTAATTATTGTTTATGTTATTTTCTTCAAGTTCATAATTAATTTAGGTGTGATATGTTGTTGGTCATATTTCAGGTGATTTCAAGTAGGATGGAACCATGTGAGGTGAACTAGACCTCTTGTATGAAATCATGGATGAAGAGAGTGTGGAAGACGTGGAGCTGCTACATGATTCAGATAAGCCAGACATAGCCGTTGACAGTTGGAACCGGATCCTTAAAGCACCAGAAGGAAAAATATTTTGGGAGGATCTATTCAAGATGGATGTGAGAACCCAGCCTACCACACAACAACAATCCGGGCCTCATGGTATCTTTGAAGGGCAGGAGGAAGAAAGGGTGTGTGAGGAACCCGAGGCAGGGGGCGAGGCAAGTCGTGAGAGTGTACAAGAGATGGAATTGAGATTGAACAAGAGAATGGACAACGGATTTGTATTGAGGGATGATAAGGGGTTTTTATGCCCTCAAAGCAAATCAATGTAGTAGTTAAGATTGTCGAACCACAGAGAACTAGTGATCTAGAACACTAAGAATACACAAAGTTTCCTAAACTAAGCAAATAAGGTATTGGAAGATTTGTAACAAGCTAAGTTCCTAGAGATATAAACAAGGTGATCTCAAATCCAATCAAGAAACAACCACAAGAATTAACTTTTAATCAATAAGAATAACTAGAACTCATGGATTAGGCTTTTGTCTTCAAGTGATTATCCAATCTAGGGTGAGGTATCAAGCAATCTATCAAGTACTATAGGTCTAGACACAATCCTAAGCTAATCCTTTGTCAAGGTAAAAGCTCATTTGCTACCAATCTCTAATCATCAAGTGTCCTTGGCTAAGCAAGCAAAAATCATTATTACTTTAGTTCAGGCATATCATCATACACCTTGTGGGCAGGAAATGTCTAATGATCTACAATAAAAGGGTTATCTCTAATCTAGCATAGAAATTAAGTAATAAGCATAGACCAAGAAGGATCAGACACTAATCACCCTAGATCATCACTTAATCACCCTAATCACCTCAATCCATGAATCCCAAAGGTAACTACTCTCTAATCTCCATGAAAAGCCTTAAACCCATATGAGAATCAAGACTAATCATGTTAATGAGCAAGTGAAGAAGAAATTCAGATGAAGAACTTTCTTTAATGATCAAAAGATTCAAGCTTTTACAATGAGCGGCAAAGTTTCTAGAGAAAAAATGAAATAGATTCCCAAAAGAGATTATAAGAGTATTTATATGGTTTAGGAGATACAAGGGTTTTCTAGACAAAATGACCAAAAGGACCTTGCAAGATAATAGAAATTTCTGGTCTTAGTCGCGTGACCCGGGGTGTGGTCGAGAGCTCCCACACTAGTCATTTACTTGTCCTCAAGTAATTCATTAAGATCAAAGGGAGAGAGAATGAAAATGGCAGCTCAAAACCAATGGATACTCTTCTTATACTCAACACCACATATTAGACAAACATAACCTATATCAAAAGCAGTCTCAATTATTACAGTCTATCTTTTCAAGTTCTATGAAGACTCATTGCTATAAAACATGTTGTGGTTCACCAATCAACAAATCTCCTCAACCAACCCTCACATTAAATTAAGCATAAGCTAATAAGGTGAAGTCTTGCAAATGGAAACTTGATCTAGATCATTTGGCTTTGTGAGTGAAAAGGTTTAATGAGTATAAAAGAGGGGTTTCAATGCATTTCTTTTTAGTAGCTTACACTCAAGAAATAGGGACTTGATCACTATGCAAAATCAATCTAAGAAAAGAGGCAACTTATGCATACATGCTTGTTCTTATCATTCTACCCTTTTCCTAGATGATCTTCAAAGTCTACCCTCTTCTTTTTGTGTAATTCTCAACCCATTCTGTCCCAAAAACATTAAGATCTCTCTCTTTCTCACTCACCCAATGAACCTTTCTTTTTCTTTCTTTTAAACCAACTAGGGACTTTTTTTTCTTCTTCTTTACTTAAGCTCTATCCTTTTTTTCTTAAGCTTTCCCCAAAGTCTTTTTCTAGACTTTTTATGTCTTTATGTTCTAGGAGGTTTCTATTTGAAGGTTTCTAGAGCTTTTCTTGTTTTTTCCTTTGATCCCTAGTGGTTTTCTTCTCTTTTTCTTTATTTGGTTCATTCTTTTCACTCTTCTAACACCTCAAGACTCAAGATAAACTCTTTTGCACCACAATACCAAACTTCCCATCCTAATTGCTACCTGTCAAGAGGTTCTATAGCTAGCCTGAGATAAGAACAACCAATGTCGCCTCTAATACTCTCAAGCTTTTGCACATGAAAAGCTATCAAAAGAGATCTCACACAAGCAATATGATTTAGTATTCAAAGAATGGTAATGGTTTAAGGGTGTGGGAGTGCCATCTGGGTTTTATAAAGAGTGGTAAAAAGGATAAGTAAAACCCAAATGTGTATGACCCATGATCAAGTATGCAAGTTCCCATAAGCAAGAAGGATTAATTTCATTTAGCTTTAAGTTCATTTGGAGTTGGTATTAAGGGAGAATGTTAATCTCACACAAGTAAAAAGTTTCAAGAAGAAAATCAAGGCATGAAGCATGTAAGCTTTTCAGGAGATGCTTAAGCTACTTGCTATGATCAGCTAGGGTGTAATTTTTAGTTCTAAGCATGTGTTTCCTTATGAGTTCAGCTCCCAATGCATGAATCCAATCTATATTCTTCTAGACTCAATCTTAAAGATGTTATGATGCAACCTAAATGCTTGTTTTTGTTTCTTTTTGGAAATTTTTCAATTTTTTGGATTTTTCTATGTATATATATATGTACAATGCAGTCCATGAGAATCAAAATCAACAAAGCAAACATGAACAAATACTTGGTACCTCCCCCAAACTTAAATTGCACAGTCTATGTGTGAATAAGGGAGAAGGAGATACCGAAAATATGATAAAAGCAATGGTTATACAAGGAATTGCTGGAGTGGTACCTCAAGTGGAGGCCGAGGTGTGGTAATGGGCGTGAAGGTCTAGTGCTAGAAGCTGGCTGCCTTTCTTCTCTTATGAGCTCTAGATCCAACCTGAAAATTCTCAATTGCATTTATTAAACAAACTAAAGCAAGAAGATAAAGAATATATACAATGGATAAATATGGGACTTCCTCCCAAGTGAGCTTATCATAGGTATCAAAAGGTTGAGCCAATGCACCTTTGATCCTTCTATTACAAAAACAAGAAACAAAGTATGCAAAGGAGCACACTACTGTCCATTGAAAATAGACAGATTTTTCATCAAAGAACTTTACTAAAGATGCAGCATGAATTATGAAATTCTCTTTGATGTTCAGAATGTCATGAGAATCAAATGCATTTGATGGAAAAAAAAAGTCAACTACATGCTCAAAAGAGGCTTTAATAAAGTAGTCAACTCTATCTCCATCAATCGAATAAAACACAATGTTCTCATTCTCATGAATGTTTTTGAAATAGAGGATTTCCATCCCAAGAAAAAGCTTATCCACATCAAGTTCATCCCCTAAATCAGATATTTCAAGAAGAGGTCTAGGTTCATTAAGCATTAAAAACTTAGATTCAAGATCAAATGAAGCACATATATAACTCTTTTCAAAAGAAGCTTCAATATGATCTTGAACAAGATTTTCTATTCTAAGCTCATATAGTGTCCTAGTTTCACATATCAGATCAAGACATTCATTTAAAAGCACCAGCGAATCAAGATTAGGGGCAATTTTCTCACCACAAGGGAAGCAAATTTCCTCAAGTTGAAGTCTTAAAGTAGAAATGCTTGTACCTTCTAGCTGGAGTGGTGAAACCAAATACATTACCTCATTAAGGCCACAAGCAGCATCAAGCTCATCTTGAGTAACTTCCCTTCCTTCAAACTCTGATCTATCCCTAATGAGGTGTACCCGGACCACTTGTGCTAGGTGTCTCATTGGCTTGCCCCAGTACTTTCTCATTCTCTTAAGCCTTTGTATCTCCCCCATTGGTCTAGTGTGAGTATGCGCATATCAAAGGGAGGTAGCTGCTT